GGTGCGTGCCTGTAATCCCAGCTACTCAGGAGGCTGAGGCAGGAGAATTGCTTGAACCCAGGAGGCGGAGGTTGCGGTGAGCCCAGATCGCGCCATTGCACTCCAGCCTGGGTAACAAGAGTGAAACTCCGTCTCAAAAAAAAAAAAAAAAAATCCAGTTTTGGTGGCATCGGCATATAGTCCCAGCTACCTGGAAGGCTGAGGCAGGAATATCACTTGAGTTTAGGAGTTCAAGGCTGCAATGAGCCATGATCACACCACTCTACTCCAACCTAGGAGACAGAAAAAGACCCTGACTCTAGAACAGAAGATATACCTTCCTTTTAGGAGCCCATTCAGACCTACCAGCATGGCTGATCAGACCTCTGTGAGGGGTACTTAGAGAATCTATGTAGTTCTGACAACCTCCTGGGTACATTCATTTCATTCTCAGAGAAGTCGTCCCTTCCTGGGCCTATTTAGTTACCTGATCTCACTTTCTTTCTTTCTTTTTTTTTATTTATTTTTATTTTAAGATGGGGTTTCACCATGATGGCCAGGCTGGTCTTGAACTCCTGACCTCAGGTGATCCACCCACCTTGGCCTCCCAAAGTGCTAAGATTACAGGCGTGAGCCACCGCGCCCGGCCTCCTGGTCTCACTTTCTTTCATAAGGGTCTTTGCCTGCCTTACACTGGCTTGAGACCTTATTAAGTCAAGACTGGGTACTGGTCCAAGCAGCAGCTTCTCCACTCCTTCTGGAATCTCTCCCTGGTTCAGCCCGCCTGCCTCCACTCCTGCCTCCACCATGTCCATCAGGGTGACCCAGAAGTCCTACAGGGTGTCCACCTCTGACCCTGGGGCCTTCAGCAGCCGCTCCTTCACGAGTGGGCCCAGTGACCGCTCGAGCTCCTCGAGCTTCTTCCGAGTCAGCAGCACTGGCTTCAGCGGTGGCCTGGGTGCAGGCTATGCGGGGGCCAGCGGCATAGGCGTGGGAGGCATCACTGCCATCACCATCAACCAGAGCCTGCTGAACTCCATTAAGCTGGACGTGGACCCCAACATCCAGGCCATGTGTACCCAGGAGAAGGAGCAGATCAAGACCCTCAACAACAAGTTTGCTTCCTTCATTGACAAGGTGCGGTTCCTGGGGCAGCAGAACAAGATGCTGGAGACCAAGTGGAGCCTCCTGCAGCAGCAGAAAATGGCTCGGAGCAACATGGACAACATGTTTGAGAGCTACATCAACAACCTGAGGCGGCAGCTGGAGACTCTGGGCCAGGAGAAGCTGAAGCTGGAGGCAGAGCTTGGCAACATGCAGGGGCTGGTGGAGGACTTCAAGAACAAATATGAGGAAGAGATCAATAAGCGTACAGAGATGGAGAATGAATTTGTCCTCATCAAGAAGGATGTGGATGAAGCTTACATGAACAAGGTAGAGCTGGAGTCTCGCCTGGAACGACTGACTGACGAGATCAGCTTCCTCAGGCAGCTGTATGAAGAGGAGATCCGGGAGCTGCAGTCCCAGATCTCCGACACCTCTGTGGTGCTGTCCATGGACAACAGCCGCTCCCTAGACATGGATAGCATCGTCGCTGAGGTCAAGGCGCAGTACGAGGAGATCGCCAATCGCAGCCGGGCTGAGGCGGAGAGCGTCTACCAGATCAAGTATGAGGAGCTGCAGAAGCTGGCTGGGAAGCATGGGGATGGCCTGTGGCGTACGAAGACTGAGATCTCCGAGATGAACCGGAACATCAGCCGGCTCCAGGCCAAGATTGAGGGCCTCAAAGGCCACAGGGCTTCCCTGGAGGCCGCCATTTTAGATGCTGAGCATCGCGGGGAGCAGGCACTCAAGGACGCTTGTGCCAAGCAGCAGCAGCAGCTGGAGGAAGCCCTGCAGAAGGCCAAGCAGGACATAGCACGGCAGCTGCGTGACTACCAGGAGCTGATGAACGTCAAACTGGCCCTGGACATCGAGATCGCCACCTACCGCAAGCTACTGGAGGGCGAGGAGAGCCGGCTGGAGTCTGGGATGCAGAACATGAGTATCCGCAGGAAGACCACCAGCGGCCATGCAGGTGGTCTGAGCTCTGCCTATGGGGGCCTCACAAGCCCCGGCCTTAGCTACAGCCTGGGCTCTAGCTTTGGCTCTGGCGCGGGCTCCACCTTCAGCCGCACCAGCTCCACCAAGGCCGTGGTTGTGAAGAAGATTGAGACCCGCGATGGGAGGCTGGTGTCTGAGTCCTCTGACGTCCTGCCCAAGTGAACACCTGCAACAGCCCCCCTCCCAGCCTGCCCCTCCTGAGGCTGCCCCAGAGCCCGGGAGGGAGGTTGCTGTGCAGGGGAGCACAGGGACAGGAGACCCACCCGACACTCAGCCCTAGCCCTCAGCCCACCCGCGGGGAGTTTACTGCCTGGGGACCCCCTTGCCCATGCCTCCAGCTGCAAAACAGTTCAATTGGCTTTTTTTTGGTCCAAAATAAAATCTCAGCTAGCTCGGAAAAA